TMYTYTACTCTTGTTTAGAGGTGAAGAAYGCAGACAAAGGGTTTACATCTTGCAGAGATACTGCATATGCAGGGTCAGAATCAAATCTCAATTCAAARTTGTTACATGATTTGCAGCAACATTAGTTTGACTACCGGTGAGAAAAAGACTTCCTCTTCTGTTACAAATTGAGAGATCAATGCTTGCCCAGCACTTTACTCTTTTCTCCTCAGGTATTTTTTCTTGGTCAAAAGGAATGTGCAAATGCAAGGGCCAGCCTTTATACCACCAGCYGCAAGATCCTTCTTTCCTGAAAGGACATTCACAGACGTGAATCCTCCRTCCATTGGATTACAGTCCACTACCTGGATAATTGCCCTTGATAACCAGTTATTTACTGCTATTTCTTCCAGCAGGTCCAAGCAACATTAGTAGGTGCTACTTGATRCAATGTCAGCTTGGAAATGCAGCTTCATTTAAGGTTGCTGCTTTGGGCATTTGATGCTTCAAAAAGAAATCCGGCTGCTTCTTTAGGGACTCATAACTTTGCTGTTTGTAGCCTTTGTGTTCATCAAGAATTTCAGAGCAGATGAGAATATAGTCAGTTACTGGGGGGAAGGCAGAGACTCTCMAATTAATAAAATCTCTAATGAAATGCAAATAGAGTTACCAAAAGCCAATACTGAAGTCCAAGTTCTTGCTGTCTACAATCCAAAACTTAAGTACTCTGTTTATATATATCCTTGGCATCATTTCTTTCATCCTCACTCATGTTGTGCAAACATTGACTCATGAATAAAGTAATAGAAAAATTATATTTCCCAAAGAAACCTTATGGCTCCTGGAGAGCCTGCTCTAACCTACCAGCTTTAAAAGATACTGGTTAAGAAAGCTGTAATATGAGTAACAACACTGAAAATGGCTCTGCTTGAATCTGAAACTCTATTAAAAATACTCACTGACTGAATTACTTTCATGATCTATTTAAACAAAGCTATTGAAATTAATATCCTGGCACCCCAGGCACACTCTAAATACTTGAAAACATGCARTGAGCAGGATGAAGAACTCTCCTCCAGCACTGAAAATATGCAAACATGATGTGCTGTCAAGGAAACACATGACTCCCTCTCTTTTTTGGCCATGGGTGACGCACGACATTCTCCTCTAAGGGAATTCCTTTTGATTTCCAGAAGATTAGTCACAGTGCTGAGCAAACGCCTATAGCCACCGTGCATTTCTACGCCTCAGGGTACCATTGCAATCCTTTCCTCAAAGTCTTCCTACTTAAAAACAAGTAGCATTGGGTTTCTCTTTCTAATCCCACATCCCCAGGAGTAATATTGGCAGTCTTTTGCAAGGCTGCAAACTTGTAGATAGGTTCCTTGCTGGCTGGTGCATTCCTATTCACCACGAGCCATCATGACTGTGTTCAATTTGCACTGAGCTGCACTTCCCAGCTTGAATTCACATTGCCCACAAAATCCCATCTGCCCATCTGCTCTTGCAGTGGGGAATGTTGAGGCTTTCCAAAAAAACACTACAGGGTCATCTRCCTGCAAACCAGTGAACCTATGGCTCTGCAGCACGGCAGACGGGATGCTGTGCTGTCACACAAGGCAGATCCCAGATCCATCCATGCAGAATGCACCTGAGGTCTTCACCAGAGGAAGAGAAGCTGCTTCCTCCAAAAYCAGCCTGAAGAGTGCTTCAGGGGTTGTTAGAATTAYAGCCAGCTTCTGGACCAACCCTGRACAGAATTAGAACTGCAGCCAYTAYGGGCACAGGTCACCTGGCTGCCACTGTCGAGAGAGAGGGTCCCCAGAGCAGAGCATCAGTGAGGACAATGWCCTGTGTCTGCTGAGCTGAGCACAGCGGGAGCTGTGCCTTTCATTCAGTGAAGAGCCTGGTAATTTTGAGGAAAAGGGAAAGAGAAGAAAGTAAGGAAAATGTGAAGCAGTAAGTTCAGCTATCAGAGAGTCAGCAAAGTGTTTTAARCGAACGCTTGGCCTCATGACAGTGCCCTAAAAAAGCTAAATTCCATACCTTTGCTCGAGGCWGAGCTTTTCCAAAAGCCTCACACTTTCCATCAGCCAGTGCATGAGCCTAAAGTTAACAACATCAAGAAATGCCATTTGACTTCTCTTGCCTTTCTGTATCCTCCTTCAGCATACAGCTATACCAAATCTTGCTTCTGCTAAACTCACAGACATTACCATAAACAGCTGATGCAAAAACCACTCAATCCCAAACTGTCATTTCAAGCAACATTAAATTATTCCTTTCTCCCCCTCTTCCTTTTGGTCCACAAACTCTTCCTCTTTGTTCTTGACATAAGATCCCACAAACATGTTATGTCCCACAGTGAAGTTTTAKGGATCCCTTACATATCTAAGAGTAGGACATGTATGCATGTAACTCGAGTACTTAACAACAGGTGCATGCCTGAGTTAGTTAACAAAAAGAACAGGACAAAACCACTTGGGTCACCAAATTTGTATGCCAAAATTATATTTGCAAATCTATCCAAGCTGGCCTTAGTGATAAACCTATTCTGCTCCAAGGAATGGGCATGGAACATGAGAGTTGGACTGAAAAAAGAAAAAAAAGAAAGGAGCTGAGCTATGCTAATGATACCTCATACGTGGAAGGGAACTCTTCCATCAGCTGCCTGTTCTCCCCATCCC